TGCGACCAACTTGAATTTACTACTCCATGATGTTTTACGCATGACATCTACATGATGAAGACATATACATCAATCAGGGCAATCAAGGTTGTCTTTTAAGATAGAGTGATCAGAAGTTTTTGTGACTGCAAGGAGGAAGGTGTGGAGAAACTGATCATTCAACTAACAAGCTGGGCATAAATAAGGCATTACCTAACAACTTCATGAAAAATTTCCTTGGGCAATAAGCACACTCTTTCAATGGCGTCCTCACAGTATGCTAAGTAGTAAAAGCATATTGAGACACCAGTTGCTGCAATGCCTGGTTGAGGGACTTCCAGAAGATGCTGCACGAAGAAAGAAAAGCACAAAATTAGATTATCACAACAGACAACTTAAACTGGCTCACAAAGTGTTCAAAAATTTGTGAGCAGAATTCTCACGAGGTAACTAAAGTTTTAAATGCGAAGACAAAAGTGCAATACGTTTCTAAATGCTTCTACCCTCTTTCACCCCCCCCCCTCTCACATAACCTCCCACAAAAGATACTGAAGAGAGTTAGAAAAGCTAAAAATCATAAATTATTACTACAGAGTAACATCAACGAGAATGCGATGGACGATACTGAAAGAAAGCTATCAAGAAATGGATTTTCAAAGACATATTCATACCTGGAGACCATTCATGCTGAGAAACTCGATTGAGAACTTTTTGTGGCACAGAAGTGCAGCCAGGTATTTCAGAGCTTCAAAAGCTAACCGCGATGAACGTTTTGTTTCCTTTATGTCGATGAAATTTAAAATCAAACCAACCACGTTCTTTTCAAAAACGTGACTCAGGAACTGCAAGGAAAAATAAATAAATTAGGTGATTATATTCTCTTGATTAGATGCTTTTCACACATATCCTCCTTTTTCTTTCAATCATAAACTAAAGTAGGTACTTCTTTGTTGCCACATGATGGTCTGAGATGTAAAGTCAATAGATATGAATTAGATTTCTAGAGAAAGGTCCCTTCCTTTAAACTCATGAAAGTTTTCAAGAGAGGTAAAACCATAAAAATGAACTCTTGACTACTTATTTCATCCAAATGAGATCCAGGTCTGAAAGTGAAGAAATATAATGAATAAACTAGAGGTGATTTACGGTTATTTATTGCGATGTTTCCCACTTATGGATCACCAACAGAAACCTTAATTTTTTAGAACAACCCTGGTTCATGCTCAGTGCTTATTCTAGAAATCAGCATTGTTACACACGCGTCAAAACAGAGATATCAATTTTTGAGCATTGAGCTTTGAGTTAGAGAATGGAATAGGAATTACGATACGTCAGGTCTGAGGGGGGAAGGCACGTTTTGAAGAAAAGAAAATGAGCCATACCCTTACAGTCTTTCTGTGATATTCCATTTGTTTTTGGCACTGTTTTGGCAAACGTGTCCTGCATACACGCATCGGTATCATATAAAGAAATTGTTTGAGGTTTGTTGTTGCGGGTTGTTCTCACTGAAAATATAATGAAACAAAAACATAAGGCAATCAAACATCTTCAGAACAGTTCAAGGCTTTTGCTTTCTTCACTTACTATTACTATCCACATTTAGTAACTTTGATTATCAGAGAAAAAAGAAGTGATGCCAGAACCTAATTTTACAAAGAGTGTAAAATCCACAATAATGTTCAAAGATGCCAAATGAGTTGTTTGATGATGCTCAAGCTACGACAAGCAAAATAAAATCACTCTTAGAGCGTAATGTGCTTACGAAAATACACTTGCTTGCGGCCAATTTTTTTCTAATATTTCTGAGAAGTTTCCTCAAATTTGAGGAGGATTTGCAAAACTAACGGACAGTTGAATCTGCTAGTCAAATCTCCAGCAGTGGATAGGAGAGTGGGTCAGAAAGCGCAGAAAAAGCTTTACTGCCCAATTTTCCTCATTTTCATTGTTTGTAGCAGATGTCAGATTTTTTTTTTTTTATTTGTTATATTTTAAGCACTTTCTTTGATAATACTTTTATTAACTATATATATTTGATTTTTAATTTTAGATACATTTAGTGTTTATATGCCTGTGTTGGATTTTTACTTACCTGCTGGAATAGTTCCACTCATAAGCAAAAATAGAGACTCGCAATAAAAGAGT